GAGTATATCCAAATTTTCTTCATTTAATTTTTGAACATGCTCATTTTTTGGACAAAGAATTGCACATTTAGATATATTTTTAATATTATCTATAGCAGTGGTTCTCAACCTTGGCTGCACATTAGAATCACCTGGGAATCTTTTTAAAATTCTGACACCAGGAAAGGGTACCTGTTAATGACAGCATTGATCTTAGTGTAGGAGAAGCAGAGTGCTGCATGTTATTTATCACATCAAAAGCCCTGGTCTTAAAAAGGAAGGAACACTTCCAAGCTTCTTTAATGAGGCCAGCATTATCCTCATTCCAAAACCAGATAAAGACACTACAAAGAAAGAATTACAGGCCAATATCCCTGATGAACACAGATGCTAAAATCCTCAACAAAATATTAGCAAATCAGATCCAGCAATATATTGAAAAGATCATACACCATGACCAACTGGGATTTATTCCAGGGATATGAGGCTGGTACAATATTCAATAAACAATGCAAATCAACAAATGCGATGCATCACATAAACAAATTGAAAGTAAAAAATCACATGATCATAACAAGTAGATGCAGATAAAGCATTCGACAAATTCTACACCCATTTTTGATAAAAACTCTCAGCAAAATGGGAAAAGAGGGAGCATATCTCAACATGATAAAGGCCTATATGACAAACCTACAGCCAACATCATACTCAGTGGGCAAAAACTAAAACTATTTCCCCTAAGAACAGGAACAAGACAGGGATGTCTGCTTCCACAACTCTTATTCAACATAGTACTGGAAGTCCCAGCCACAGCAATCAGACAAGAAGAAGAAGAAATAAAAGGCATCCAAATTGGAAAGGAGGAAGTAAAACTCTCATTATTCCCAGATGACATATTTATATAAAAAATCCTAAAGACTCTACCAAAAACTACTAGAGTTAATAAAGAAATTCAGCAATGAAGCAGAATATAAAATCAACATCCACAAATAGGTGTCTTTTTTTATATACCGATAATGAATTCTCAGAAAGAGAAACTAAAAAAAAAAAAAAAAAAAAAAAAAAAATCCCATTTACCATGCCACAAAAAAAGTAAGATACTTAGAAATAAACTTAACCAAGGAGGTAAAAGACTTGTAGTTGGAAAACTACAGGACATTGAAAATAGAGATAGAAGAAGATGTAAACAAGTGGAAGAGTATTCCATGTTCACGGACTGGTATAATTAACATCATTAAAATGTCCATACTACCCAAGACAATCTACAGATTCAATGCAATCCCTATTAAAATACCAACAGCATATTTCACAGTGCTAGAACAAATACTCCAGGAACTTATATGGAATCAAAAAAAGACCCCAAATAGCTGCAGCAATTTTGAAGAAGAAGAAAAACAAAGATGGAGGAATCACAATACCAGATTTCAAATTATACTACAAAGCCACTGTACTCAAAACAGGCTGGTACTGGCACAAGAACAGGCATATAGATGAATGGAACAGAACAGAGACCCCAGTTAATATTTGACAAAGGAGGCAAGAGCATACAGTGGAGTCAATACAGTCTGTTCAATAAATGGTGTTGAGAAAATTGGACAGATACAAGGCAAAAAATAAATGTAACTAGACCAGCAACACACACAAGAATAAACTCAAAATGGATAAAAGACTTGAATGTAAGTCAGGGAACCATAAAAATCCCAGAAGAAACCATAGGCAGCAAAATCTCAGACACCTCTCATAGCAATATGTTTACAGATTCATCTCCTAGGGCAAAGGAAACTAGGGATAAAACAAACAAATGGGACTAAATCAAAATAAGAAGCTTCTGCACAGCAAAAGAAACCATAAAAATGAAAAGGGAGCCCACTGTATGGGAGGAAATATTTGGCAATGATACATCTGATAAAGGGTTAATATCCAAAATATATAAGGAACTCATATAACTTAACAAAAGGAATAACAAACAATCCAATTGAAAAATGGGCAAAAGTCCTAAATAGACACTTCTCCAAAGAGGACATACAGATGGCCAAGAGACATATGGAAAAATGCTCAAAGACACTGATCATCAGTGAGATGCAAATTAACAATGAGGTATCACCTCATGCCTGTCAGAATGGCTATCATCAACAAATCAAATGACAAGTGCTGGTGAGGATGTGGAGAAAAGGGAACCCTAGTGCACTGCTGGTAGGAATGCAGACTGGTGCAGCCACTGTGGAAAACAGTATGGAGTTTCCTCAAAAAATTAAATATGGAACTGACATTTGACCCAGTGATCCCACTTCTGTGAATATATCCTAAGAAACCAAAACACAATCAGAAGGAATGTATGCACCCTTATGTTCATAACAGCGCAATTTACAATAGCTAAGTCTGGAAACAGCCCAAGTGCCCATCAGTAGATGAGTGGATAAAAAGGCTGTGGTACATTTACACCATGGAATACTATGCAGTAGTAAAAAAGAAGGATCTCTTACCCTTTGAGACAGCATGGAGGGACCTGGAGAGTATCATGCTAAGTGAAATAAGCCAGTTAGAGAAAGACAAGTATCACATGATCTCACTCATGTGGAATCTAAGTAACAAAATAAACTAATGAACGGAGTGGAGCCGGAGACATGGAAGCATGGAACAGAGTGCGGAATCTCGGAGGGAAGGCGGGGCGAGGGTGAGTGGTGGGAGGTAACCAACTAAAGACCTTGTATGCACATATGCATGGCCCATGGACACAGACAATAGGGTGCTGAAGGCCTGGGGCAGGGAGTGGGGTGGGCCGGAGGGGGTCAGGAGTCAATGGGGGGAATGGGGGACATATGTAATACTCAACAATAATTATTTTTTAAAAAGTGTTTTTTAAAAATAAATAAATAAGTAAATAAATAAATAAACAAACAAACATATATAAAAGAAAAACCCTGGTCTTAGAAAATGCCAAGAAGCTTTGGTCTGAATCCATCAGAAAACAGCATAGATGGCAGGTTGCATCTAGTGAGCTCCTAAGAATTTATAAATTGTAAACATTCCCTCTGAGGGCATTTTAGAAAAAACAATTCTTTGAGAAAAACATCTAGTTCAATGTTCATTTCTAGTAAAAATTACAGTCTTCATTTAATTGAAAACTTCAAGTGTCATCTTACGGGGAAAAAGAAGTTACCAAAATGTATGAAGTTTATAGTGTCTCTCTTGGACCTTTATTAGGCATTAAAAGTGTAAATTTTAATTAAAATTTAACTAGTATTGCCCGGCCGGCATAGCTCAGTGGTTGAGCATCGACCTATGAACCAGAAGATCATGGTTCGATTCTGGGTTGGGCACATGCCTAGGTTGCGGGCTTGATCCCCAGTGTGGGCGTGCAGGAGGCAGCCGATAAATGATTCTCTCTCATCACTGATGTTTCTATCTCTCTCTCCCTCTTCCTTCCTCTTTGCAATCCAAAAAAATATATTAAAAAAAAAAGTTAAACTATTACTACTTTAGGTTTATTAAAAATGTTTAACCTGCCTCAAAAAATAAACCAATTGGTTTTTACTCCCTTTTGTTGCTCATGTGGAAGACACTGTTATCACACGCTGACACAGACCACCACCCACACGCAATCCTCTTCTATACCTGCATTGGAGAAACAGCGGCCGCCGGGGCCGTCCTCACTGGTATTCCGCTCAAGGGGCTTCTCGGGGGCTTATGGACAGAAACATTCTGTCCAGCTCCACCTGCAAGAGATGGAAACGTTTATATGTTGGTGAGTTCAAAATCAAAAATAATAGTTCCTGATTTGTTACTTTTTTGGCGATTAAAAATGTATGCCATGCTATTTATAAAGTATTATGTATACTCTTTTCTCCTTTTCCCCTGTGGATGAGTGTTGAATTGGACAGTGAGAGGGGAGCAATGAACTAAGTGGTGTTGGTCTTAGACACAGGACACATGAGGACCCAATGCAATAAGGAACAGGAAAATTCTTGCATAAACCACCTTTAATTCATTTCCCATCTTCATAGACTGAATGTAGCCACTGGGATTTCCTATCTTTCAACATCTGTAGTCTAATCTTAATCTAACTTAGCTGCAAACTATTTTAACAGAAATAACTAAGAACATCCTAAGATCAGCTATTACTCCAGTCTCCCAATACCATAAGCATATTTCTTGAATGAAGAAATACATTGTTATTTTTATATTTATGTGTATAGAGAGTATAGATATACATTTTTTCTTATATGTGGGTAACAGTGGATAAAGGTGACATTTCCAGAAAGAGGTGGGCTGTACAAAATCAGGAATGACAGATCCCATGGGGGTCCCACGTAAGACAAGACCAGGTGCAGAAAAGTCCAACTGCATGTTGCAGGATGAGGCGGGCCAGGACACCAACCAGCGCGCCGACCCCCAGGAGGCAAGGCTTCACTTCCTAGGAGGTGAAGGCTCTGGCCGACCGCAGACCACAGAAGGCAAATCAAACAGCAGTGACCTGATTTTTATGGACAGAGCGGAAAAGGAAGGTGAGGAGGCAGGAGCAGGCAAGGAGGTGGGGAGGGAGACTGCCCATGGCCAGCTCACTGCAGCTGCAGCATGTCTTTCCTGTACAGAGGCTTCCTGTGGAACGATCTAGAACAGTGGTTCTCAACCTTCTGGCCCTTTAAATACAGTTCCTCAATGTTGTGACCCAACCATAAAATTATTTTCGTTGCTACTTCATAACTGTAATGTTGCTACTGTTATGAATCGTCATGTAAATATCTGATATGCAGGATGGTCTTAGGCGACCCCTGTGAAAGGGTCATTCGACCGCCAAAGGGGTCGCGACCCACAGGTTGAGAACCGCTGATCTAGAAGAACCCTTGTGGTTGTGCCAATTTGGGGTCAGTGCAGAGTAGAGACAGGCTTGATATTTGGGGCCTTGGTCTGAATTGAGTTTTGCTTATAAAACAAAACGATTAAATACCTGGGTGTCCCAAGTCAAAGGACTTGATAAGGGACTTCACGGTGGTCGCGGGCTCCAAAGGCGCTGTGGAGGCTCTGCTGACAAAGACGCCGGGCCAGCGGCCGGGGGCATCAGCCTCGGGCTCCGACTCCGCACGCACAGGTCTGCACGGCAAAGAGCAAGTCAGTCGCAAAGGTGGAGGGTGTTCGTGGGGAAAGACGCTGAAGAGAACAGAACGGATGTGGAGGAGATACACGGATCTGGAAGGAGAGCCCACATTTGAAATCTTGTTCTGCACCATTTGTGTCTTTGGAAATAAGGCAGGTGCTGCTCTCAATTTTTATCAGCGATGTTTTCTTGGGAATGGCCAGAAATAGTACTTTAAGATGTAGAAATAAAAAAAATGTGAGTCTATTCTGTAAACTGTAAAAAAAAAATACACAAATATTATTCATCATAAATACTTAGTTTACTGTCCATGGTGACGACAGTAAATTGGCTTGTCCGTGCGTCCCAGACCCCACCTGGACCACAAAGGTTGGGAAGGTGACACCTCAGGACTTCCTGCAACTAGGATTTCAGATGTGATTTAGGGTCCACCAGTCGGCAAGATGTGGCCTGGCCTGGAGTGGACGGCGCTGGGGAAGAGGGATGGGGTCCTCGGGCTGAGGCGAGCCGCCTGCCAGGCAGGCTCCCCATGCTCAGGCTCCCCGCGGTAGGGATCCCCGGGCTAAATCTCCCATTCACAGTGAGGTAGCAGTGCCCTGGTCGCTCCGTCCTGCGCTGTGACTTTGGGGAGTTGTCCCTGGAAGCTCCGCTAGAATCTGTCGTCAGCCTCCCAACAATCCTGCAAGCCATTTAATACCTTCCTGCTCAACTAACCAGACAATGATCTATTATTACAGCAGAATCCTGACTCCTACACCATTTGCCCTCCAGGAGCCAGACGGGAATGGTATTCTAGAACAAGTAACACTGCAATTCTGCACAAGGCGAAGCTTCTACTCCCATCCAAGCTTTCCTGGCAAGTTCTGAATGTGGTTTCTGAATTCAAGCACAGACTCATCAAAGTGTTTTAAAGATAGATCATCAGATTCAACCCTCTCACACACGGCTTCCTCACCCAGTGGATGTTAGCATTGTCATTTAATCTCCCTGGGAATGACCTCCCAATCTCCTACTTTCTAAACCACTGCTCTTTTTATTATATCATTGTTTGCAAGATGATGACTAATTTATGAGAATGGCCCAAAAAGAATATTTCTAGGAGTATACTTTAATAAGGTCAGTGAAAGTTTAAAATATTTACTTGCTGATATTTTTTTAAATGAATCTAGCTACTCATAAGCTTCTGCAATTGAATTTACTTGTCCTTAATTCTCAAAGCTTTCCCCTGCAGATCTGCAATCAACGTGAACAGAATGAATTTAAGTGAAACAGAACTTAAAACACTTACATCACACTGCTCTACACTTTCCTCTCCGTGGCCCCTTCTTTTGGGTGGAAAAAAAAAAAATCAGTAAACTTATGACATCTTTGGAAGAAAAGAGTAGGCATTTCAGAAACTGGTAGGGGGTTGGGTTTAATTATTACTTTATGGAATGGGCTTGGTTTCTTATTTTATTTTCCCCATGTGTTACACAGTATAAAATTAAGTGGTGTATGTGCAGAAAGAGAGTAACATCAGGTTAGGTAGGAGCAGAAAAAATATCTCCTATCTCTGTCCCAGACATTCTCAGGCAGGTGAGAAACAAAGTGGGCCACCCTCTTACCCATCCATTTAAACAACTTGCCAACTCATTATGGTTTTAATTTGCATCTCTGATGATTAGTGACATGGAGAGTCTTTTCATGTCTCTTGGCCTCGGTATGTCCTCTTTGGAGAAGTGTCTATTTAGGTCCTTTGCCCATTTTTAAATGATATCACCTCACACCTGTCAGAATCAACAAACAAGTGCTGACGAGGATGTTGGGAAAAGGGAACCCTCATGCACTGCTGGTGGGAATGCAATTTGGTGCAGCCACTATGGAAAACTGTATGGAGTTTCCTAAAAAAGTTAAAATGGAACTGTCTTATGACATAGCAATTCCACTTCTGGGTAAATATCTGAAAATCAAAAACAATTCAAAAGAATGTGATCCCTATATTCATTGCAGCATTATTTTTTAAAATATGTTTTTACTGATTTCAGAGAGGAAGTGAGAGGGATAGAAACATCAATGACTAGAGAGAATCATTGATTAGCTGCCTTCTGCATGCCCCCTACTGGGGATCGAGCCTGCAGCCTGGGCATGTGCCCTTGACTGGACTTGAACCTGGGTCCCTTCAGTCAGGCCAACAACGCTCTATCCACTGAGCCAAACCAGTTAGGGCTGCAGCACTATTTACAATAGCCAAGCTATGGAAGCAACCCAAGTGCCCATCAATACATGAGCTGTGGTACATATTTACCAAAGAATATTACTCGGCATAAAAAAGAATGAAATCTTACCAGTTGTGACAGCATGGATGGGCCCAAAGGGTATTATGCTAAGTGAAATAAGCCAGTCAGAGAAAGACAAATACCATATAACTTCACTTAAAGGAACGAACAAAACAGAAACAATACAGAAACAAACATAAATAGATACAGAAAACAGACTAATGGTTGCCAGAGAGAAGGAGGGTTGGAGGACTGGGTTAACAAGGTGAAGGGATTGAGAAGTACAGATTAGTGGGTATAAAATATGGGGTTGTAAATTACAGCATAGGAAATATAGTCAACAACATTGTAATAACTATGTATGGTGCCAATTGGGTACTGGAAATATCAGGGGACCACTTTATAAAGTATATGATTGTCTAACCACTGTACTGTACACCTGAAACTAATACAAAATAAAACTGAATGTAAACTGCAATTGAAAATTTTTTTTAAATTAAAAATAAATACTTGCTACCAAAAGGCCTTGTAGAAACTTAGGGCACCCCTCCTAAAAGGAAGATCACTTAAAAAATTCATTTTCATTTCATTCCTTGATAATAAGGACAAAATAAAAACTCTACATCTACTGAAGTATTCCCTTCAATTACCCAAGTTTCTCTGTGATTCAAAACATCAGATGATAAGTCAGAAAACTCGTTCAGACTCTATTAGAAAAGTGCAAGACTTCAAGAACAGTTCTCAGTCCCTGTGCCTTCAGATAGCCAAAGACCCAATCAGTCCACAGGCTAGAACAAGAGTCAGTATGAGAAAACTCTGCAGGTTTAAGTGGATTAGATAAGCTACTGGTCTAAATACTAACCGTGTTACATAACAGTGATATATGTGTGTGTGTGTGCGCGCGCAGACTTACAAAGCCTGAATTGAAGAACAGTTAGTATTTTAATCATAAACAGGCTTGAAATTCATTACACCAGTCTGTCTTAGAATTATTTGGGATCAACCAGTAACAACACCATTAATAAATGAAGTAGATTTGACCCCTGATCATGGGTTTGAATTGCACAGGTCCAGTTAGACATGGATTATCTACACTAATAAAAGAAAAAGATGCAAATTAACCATCACTCCATCACTATGCTACACCCACCGGCCAATCAGGAGTGAGTATGCAAATTAACCCAACTAAGATGGTGGTGGCCACGGAGCTGGAGCGAGCAGGAGGTTTGGGTTGCCCCCGGCAATGGAGGAAGCCAAGCTTCCCACCTGCCCTGGCTGGCCCTGGGCTCTGCTCAAGGCTACAAAGTTTCAATTATAGAAGATAAATAAATCCAAGGTACCTGCTTCCAGCCCACTGGCCTCTGCTCAAGGAGGCACTGGAAAAAAAAAGAAAAGAAAAGAAAAAGGAAAGGCTGGGAGCTTGGGTTGCCGGGGGGCGTGGCCAGCCTGAAAACAGCCATCAGCCCCTCACCCAGGCTGGCCAGGCACCCCAGCGGGACCAGGGTCCCCGCTGGGGGGTTTGGTCAGCCTGCAAACAGCCATTAGCCCTTCACCCAGGCTGGCCAGGCACCCCAGTGGGGACCCCCACCCTGATCCAGGACACCCTTCAGGGCAAATCAGCCGGCCCCCACCCGTGCACCAGGCCTCTATAATAAAAGGGTAATATGCAAATTGACCCTAACGGCAGAACGAATGGGAATGACTGGTCACTATGACACACACTGACCACCGGGGGCAGACGCTCAATGAAGGAGCTGCCCTCTGGTGGTCAGTGCACTCCCACAGGGGGGAGCTCTGCTCAGCCACAAGCCAGGCTGACGGCTGCCAGCACAGCGGTGGTGGCGGGAGCCTCTCGCGCCTCCTCAGCAGTGCTAAGGATGTCTGACTGCAGCTTAGGCCTGCTCCCCGCTGGCAAGTGGACATTCCCCGAGGTCTCCCGGGCTGCCAGAGGGATGTCTGACTGCCAGCTTAGGCCCGATCCCCTGGGGAGCGGGCCTAAACCAGCAGGTGGACATCCCCTGAGGGGCCCCAGACTGCGAGAGGGCACAGGCTGGGTTGAGGGACCCCTCCCCGACTGCACAAATTTTTGTGCACTGGGCCTCTAGTTTTCAATAAATACAGAGGAAAGTATGTATAGAGAAAAATATATTTTCTCCTTATGATTTTCTTAATTTTTTCTCTAGCTTTACTTTATTGTTAGAATAGACTATATAATACCTATACATACAAAAGCTGTGTTAATCGACTGTTCATGTATTGGAAAGGATTCCAGTCAACAGTAGGCTAGGCGTAGTTAAGTTTTAAGGGAGTCAAAATTCACAGATTCTCAACTGTGCCCTAATACCAGTGTTGTTCAAGGTTAACTGTATTACATTTCCACTTTTCCAAGGAAGAATGAGAACTCTATATTGTATAAAAGATATTAAGAAGCATTTAAACATAGAGACAGGTGGGTGCATTACAGCAAATACATTAAATGAGAAGTTGCAAGGTACCACTATTTGAGTAAACATTTGTTCAAGGCTAGCTGATGACTCCTAAGACAGATGTTAGGTTCTAAGGTCAACCCCAAACACCGAATACAGCTTACATGTTTTGTAAATACAGCTGAATACAAATATACCATCTTTCAATTAGCCTAATGCATTCGTTTTTTACGGCATTTAGCTTCTTTCTTCAGGTGCATCTCAGTTGAAACGGCTACCCTTGCTTAGGGGCCATGTTTAAAACAACAATGAGGA